TTTGTTTATTTTAAACCAACAAGGTCTTAAAGCAGGAGACAACTTCAAAATCAATTCTTTTGTGATAGCATTGTTAAGATCAAAATTAAATTTATACAATGTTACTGAACACCATCAACTCATTAGTTCTGAAATAATAACTACTGATAGTAAACATAGTGTTAAGACAACTATAGCTGACCATACACGTGATCCAGTAACAGCAAAAGGCATCCCTTCCACACAGGTATACCTGCCCTGCTTCCATATCTTTCAGCTGTGATAGCTGAAATAATAAATTTTAGCAATACAAAACAAATTATTAAAAACTGCGTTATGAGAACAAAATAAGTCCAAGTCATCATTTAGTATGATATTCAGCCACTTAGTCTCTATGCAAACACTACCAGTTACCAAAACCAAGCAATTAAAAAAAAGCTTGCCGTTTAATAACAACCAAAACTCAGGCTACTCTGGTGTATACAGAGAATAATAAACTCTATCATTGACACAAGCAGCAATGAACATGTGACACAGGACATGACACAGTGAAGATCACTGGCACAGAAGACTTTTTTTTATAGAAGTATTTTTAAAAACTCCCTAGATTATATTTCAGAGATAAACCTTTGGCCGATGAAGGGCAGATGTCAAACACTCACACCAAGGAATGAACAGCTCTTATTAAAAAAAAGCAGCAATTATATCCTGCTGCAAACCACTAACCTCAAAAGGTTCTCTGCCAAAAATGGACATACCCCATCCACATCTGTCATAATTATAACAATATATGTAAATATTTAAGAGGCTGTATATACTCCTGTAAGTCCCAGCAGCAGTAATGTAGCTCCATGTATATCTTACAGATTTCTGAGAGGCAGAGGATATCTGCATGCCTATCCTAAGGAAACAGCATTGTGTTTCATAACACAAGGACTCAAGAGGACAGGTTAGAGTAAGAAGTAAGCCCCAGGCCAACAGCATCATAGTTCTTGGAGTAATTCTTTTCAATACATGACTTTGTAGAAGTAAGCACTCCCTTAACAAAAATAGTTCCATATATATTCAGCTGACCATAAAGCAAGCATACTGAAGGTGAAAATTATTAAAAAACTAAATTAAAATATATATATACACACACATATACATGACACTGATCAGTTTTGACTATGGCTTATTTCTGTTTAGTGTAAGAGGATAGCTATGTTGAATGACATCAAGCCTTAGGATCTAAAACTATCAGTTTTACTCCCACTCAGTTTACTTCCCATATTGCCAAATGATTAACTAACTATCACTGTCCTTGTGTCATGAATTTTTTAAAAAGGTCAGGGCAACCAATTTATCAGAAGCATGCTAGGATTTAACCTAAGCTGTCATTACCAGGGGTAATGATAACAAGTAACAAAAATCCATCATTGCCAAATAAAACATTTGACTCAAGTTCCTAGAAAACTTCAGCACAAAAAAAAAATCATGAAAATATTTAAATGTTTTAAGATGTATGCTTATCTAGGTCTTTATTCAGTAATATCACAAAAAAGTTGAACAATACTGGAAGTATCAGCAGGTCATTTCCACTTTTTTGTCCTCTGTTACTGAACACTGGAGTAATAGCTTTAAAAATATTTTATCATCTTTAAATAATTTCCTAGCAAAATAATAAACAGTCTTCTGGTATTTTATATGATTTCTGAAGTATTAGTAAGCATACAATAAAAGTAAACCCACCTGCAGCTGTAGGAATTCATGGTTTTCCAGTCCTTCAACAATCTGAGAAAAACGTTCCCTATTGTGCCTTTCTGCAGCAGTGGTTATAGCATCTAAAAGCTTGTCCAGGCTAAAAAGAAAGACACAAAAAGCACAGCAGTCAGCTTTCTCATTTTAAAGATACTTAGCTCATTATATACACAACCCAAGACTTCAGTGCACTGACAGGGAATCTTAATGCATTTATATACACTTATATACATAAAGTTGAAAACAAACCAAGAACCAAGTGTTAAAATATCTGCAAAATGAACATTGAATTAAAAAAAGATGAATACATTTCCAAATTGTGACATTCAGCTGAGAAACAACCTATGACAGAAAAAAAACACCAAACCTACCTTTTCAAGACAGTGTACTAGGTACCCACTGACTTTAACATCTCAGAATTCTAATTAATTGTCTTTTCAGAAATCAAAATATTCTTATGTGCTTATTGTATAGAAGATAAGGAGCTAGCTGTTCTTAACCTTCAGTAAACTAAGACAATAATTCAAAAGGAAATGTGATTATCTTGTTTCAAAAAAGCTCACAGATACGTGCTAACTCCATATCTTGAACTGTTCAAAACTTCAGCTCTAAATAGCAAATTTAATGGAGCAAAAAGTTGAAAAGTTTAGTTAGAGGGGTGATAATTTAATAAAACCCATATGTATTTATTTCTAAATCAAGATCTTCTACACTAATGAAAAACTTTAACGTGATATCAAAAAAGTAATTTTTCAAATACAATTTTATCTCCCCTCCTCAGAGATGTCCCAATATCCATCTTCCCCACAAAAACAGGCTCAGTAGTGCCCCATGCTAAAACACACTGTTCTAAGGTGTCTTTAAAACTGACAGTTTTCCTTGTGTCACTTACAAGTTCACAACTCCTTACTATATTCAGAACTATATAAAATATTTCTTTCAACAGTCATTTATTAACAGTTATGGTCCATTAAGTATTCACTTCTCCACAGTAAGCAATCACAGTCCTTTCAAACGTTCTACTTCAGCCACTGTTTGCAGTTCTCCGCTCATTTGTTTGTTTCTGATTTAATACTAGATTAATGCATCAGAACAGGAGAAAGCCTCTTTTATTTTAAGTACGTTAAAAAAGTAAAGACTTAACAGGTTACATTTGTTTCATTGACAAATTTGTGTCCAGACTGACAACTCACCAGTGTGCAAAAAAAAAAATTTTTTTTATATCTTACTTACATATTTTCCTCCCCAACAATGCAGATGGCAGAAAGTATTTTTACTGTTTCAGTCATCATGTGTGGTTGCTTTGGATCAATTGCTCTTGATAACAGCAAGAGACTTCTTTGATCTCCTAGAATCCTTTGCAATCCGTACTTAAAGAAACAAAAAGCTCACAGTGAAAAGATTGTATTTGTTTCGAGTACTCATCATCATCTTTGGGCTTCAGATCTTCAGGAATTTTCACAAAATTGCATTCCCCTCATTTGAAGTCTGGCAACACTCTGCTGAAACTTTCTGGGTATTATTGCTTGGGGACACAACTCAGTTTTCCCCAGTGTTACATCTGAGGCTCACTCTTCAGAAAGAGAGCTGGCTCCTAAGGAAGACACTCAATCTCATAAAATCAGGTGTCCACCAAAAGACAAATCAGTTTCTATTTTCTAACTGTATCTGAACCTCAACAGCATGATCAATTAATTCCATTTTTTTTCCTGTAACAGCTCCTGGCAAGTTGAAAAATGACTTTCCACGCAAGGACCAATAAAGATTGAAATTAGCTTTTGAAACAATTACCTTTGTTTATTTATTGTATATTCTATTTCACTTTCTGTACAGATGAATCAAAAAAAGACATAGCAATTTATTTAAAAGTAGCACTATTTTTCTTTACTGTTAACTACAGAATAGTTAGTAAATCAGATATCTAATTATTTGAAATCACCCTGTAAGTAAGAACAGCAGGGGGGAAGCATGTGACCATTTCAGTTCACTTCTCCCTCTTCAGACAGGCTATTCTGTGAGATTTTACTCAACTGAGTAACAGTAGTTACCAGTATCTTTAATGCACAGTTGTGTTTGTTACAGTTGGCAGGGAATAAATCATTGTAACACTGTAGATTTTGCTATAAATAAAGCAAAAATACAAGCTGAACACATCAACTTCTAGAAGCAGTACTTTGTGAACACAAGTAACTTATGTTAGAAACAAGCTAGACGTAACTTAAATTAGACTCAAGCTTTTTCCTTTACCCACTACCTACCAACTTGAAAACAGTGACTAGAAAGATATTAAATCATACTAAGTTCAAAATCAGGTGAAAAGCACATTATAGAAACAAAACCAATTCAGTTTTGAAATCAGATTTTAAAACCAAGCATTTTCCTTTCCATTTCTATTAGTTTCTGAACTCACTTAGCTTAAATCCATACTATCACACTGTCCACCAAATATTTTACTGCCAAAATCCAGTATTATTTAACAGATGTAAGACAAAATGCATATTCAGAAAGGTTTATGAAAAAGACTCAACAAAATGTTACACTAAGCTTAGTGCTGCAAAAGGAGTCAGCTGGCACCAGACACACAAGCTTTCCTTCCTTTTCTGAGGTTCAGCATGCTACATACATCTTGAAGTCATCAACATCCAACTATGCTAAAACTATTTGAATTCAGAATATTTCTTACTTTATTGTTCATAAATGCTTTGAGGCACTGGATCAGTTTATGTTGATTCTTCTTATCAATACTTTCTTGCCTTGAAGGAGAAAAATAACATCAGTACAATCTTCACAAGCTGTCCCACTCCTCCCTTCAAATCACCCAAGTCCTTACTGTTTCTTGTCCAGAAGCTTTTCCAACACATCCAACAGAAGTCCAAGACCTTCATGTCCAAAATTGTTAACCCAGCTGGAAAAAGGAAGAAAAACACTTTTAATTATATAGTAATTAAAAGCAAAACTTGCAAAGTTATGTCTCCAGAACTGCTTGTACATCTCTACATAGACTCTGCTTTTAGTCTCCCTTCCCAAGAAGACCTGATCAACCCTTAGGACAAATGCCTAGTTCCCACAACTCGAAGTTGTTGAGAACCATGGTGAAAGGTGGGAAGATATTGCAGACAGTTGCAAACACTTTACTTATCCTTTTTCAGTGTGGTGAGAAGTACTCTTGCCCGCCAACAAGCATTAGCATAATGACTCTGGTTTCAAAAAAAGAAAACCCCACAACTCCTGTATTGCTTCACAAACAGCATGATGAAAATGACAGCAGAAATTATTACTTACCTGACAGGATTGCTAGTTAGAGACACTCTCAAAGACTCTAGACAATTAAGCAGCTTTTCTTCTGAAATTCCAGATCGCAATTCATGAATATATTCTTGGGAGGACAGTGTGCATTCATGCTTGCTGTTTTTCAGTCCACCCTATCACAGAAGACAGAATGCTGCTTATTGTTACATTGAGCATAGTTGTGTTCAGATCACGAACAGGTAAGGCAAATAAATTTTATAATCACCATCTTCCTTGTAAAACTATTACAGACAGTTGACATGACTTTGACTTGTCGTATGTATTTAATAGTTTAGGTTCTGCATCACAAGGGTAAATGTTTTTCTGGAATCCTCTTCAATTCTTTGAGTACAGTGCATACAGTACATCTTGGATATAAAAATGTCCTGCTGTCACTCAGTTGTATTAACATGTTTAACTGCTACACACTCTCATTGAACATCCACTTCACAACAGTGTACTGGAAACAGCAATAAATAGAGACACACACAAACCCTCACAGTTGTTATTAAGCTTGCCTGATCATTCCCACTGTCCCTGTCTTGCATTTTAAAAAAGCTGTTATTACTATGGACATAGCCTAACTCTAATTCTCTCTTCTCTGAAAGAAAGGAAGAAGATAAGGCATTGAAAAGTGACTTTGGAAAGGAGCTGGCATCCACTAACTATTGAATCAGTGTTTTTTTAAAATTATGCAACTGCACAAGAACCACCTACAAGGTATTCCAGTATTATAATACCCAACAATCAGTTTTTAGAGATGTAATATTCAAAACCATGAACAATATACAGAACATTTTACCAAAGGGTGAAACTGATTTTATGTACAGCTCTGACAAGTCACAGGAGAGCAGGCTTACCTCAGAAGAGTGGCTAAGATTAACATGCAGTTCCTAAAGCTCCTTAGCAACAAATGGTCTGTTGAAGAGAGCCTGCTAAAGATGTCAGGGATGTAAAGGCAATATGAAAAGTGCCTGACATACAATAGGATTTACACGGAGTTGGGTTTAATGGTATCAGGAACTGCTCCAACTACTGCAATCTTCTAATTGCCTCTCTTTCAAAAAGCTACTTAATGAAGTTTCTGGTGTGCTCTATTCAAATTCTTACTCATCATTTTCCAAAGATGACACCAAGTGTGGCTGATGACAAAATGACTTGCCTAGATCTAAGTTAATGATTTTGACCTGAACATATTTCACTATTAATGCAATAACAGAACTACATATATGTTCATAATACTTTCAGATTGTTTGTCCGCATCTCAACAAAACAAGAATCAGATAAAGACTGTGAACACAAAGACAAGAGTGTCCTCTGGACTACATCAACTTTGAAGATGTTTCTTGCTGACACACACAGCACCATTTGCTGGACATCACCAGTTATACATCAAAGGACCAAGACAAAGATGAGTAAGCAGGACTTAAAAGAACTACAGTCCCTATCAACCTCCTAAACATGAGATGCTCTTTCGAAGAAAAAAGAAATTAATGGGTAGAGATTATCTTTATAAGTGACTTAAAATTAGGTAAGTTTATTAGCACTAGACATTGAAAATTATTGTTCAAAAAATCACCACAAAAAAAAAAAAAACAAACTCATAAGGTAAAGAACTAGAAAACAGGAACAGTTTTATGCTGTTCATTTCACTGGGTGGGAATCAAAAAGACTGTATGTGTAACTAATGTACACAATCTATGTGACACTCGATACAATTTTTGTCATTTCAGACAACAGCCATTCCCCAGCCCTAAGAGTAAAAGAACAGGAGCAGGGCTGTAAGCCACAAAATCTATAAAGAGATGAGATAATGGCAACTTCAATCATATCCTATTATATGTTAAGCCAGACCCTGAAAAGCACTCTAGAATGCAAGATGTATTTCTCCTTTCAAAAAGATTGTTTCTTGCAGTTAGCACTTCAACTGGACTCTGCTGCAAGCTACGAAGGAGACTTCTACATAGATGATGCATTTAAGGTTTTTGATGTTTTCTTTCATACTTAATCCAAGGTGTGTTCTTGCTGCCTCCTCTTTCTGTGCACCCAGGACACTAGTGAGGCCCCTGTCCTCAGATAAGGAGGATGATTTTTTATCATCAGTTCACAACACATCTCCTCTACCTTTTTCCCCCCCCATTCAAAACAGATGATCACTGATGGCTCACAAAAATCCCTTCTCAAAACCTTTCTTCCAAATACTCTAGTTCATGTTAGAGGATTCTCAGCTTAACAGAATGACTTTCTGTTCCTTTCTGCCATCTTCTTTTCAGTCTCAATACACTCTTACCTCTAGCCATGCTAATTGGAGTGCTACCACCAGGTGCTATTTCTTTCATTTCTCTTTTCAAAGAGTTTGATTGGAATAGTAATTTTAAGTAATGTTATGACTTTACATGGATCAGATTTCAATACATATACATTTCTCATTTACTTTGAAGTACAAGGTCTTGGTGAAAGATATGCTCTATGTGAGAGTATCTAATAAAGATAAGGCAAAAGTGAAGTACAAAGAAACTCAAAGGGTTGGGTCCCACACCAGAAGTTTCAGAGATTAAATCAATGCATAAGATCAAAAAACTTTGAAATTACTTTATGACCAGTTATGTTCACAGCACTACAATGAAGGCATAGAATTATTCATTTGTGACAACTCAGATGAAAGCCTGGACCATGAACTTAAAAATCCTTCTCTGAGGAAGCTAGAAGCAATGAACTTTTAGTGAAGGTGTAAGCTTAAGGAAACTCCTGGACATCTCACCAAAAAAAAAAATCAAACATTTTTTATGTAAAAGAAAACCTAATTTGCTTTCCCATGAAGGCAGTAACTCTAATGAACTCAAAACTGTGTAGGGCACATTTCAGGGTTTAAGGGGCAACCCTTTAAAAGGACAGTGTAGGATCCTTACAGTGTAGGATACAGTGAAAAACACTTGAGCGTACCTTTTCCTCTACAAAAACTTCTTTTTTAAATCGTAGAAAACCAGGCAATAATTTAGTATTTCAGATAATTTTATTAAAATTTATCTTACTCTACCTTGACTCCAGATAATTTCAAAGTTGTTACCTAGACAAAGAACTTCCTCACCTAGGACTTAAAAAATGTTCAGCTTTAAGCATTACTCAGATGTGCCACCATAGGCCTGTAAACAAGCTTGAGAACCAGTATCTAACCAAAAAAAGCAAAGCAAAAGCATTTTGCCCTCCTTGGGGAAATCAGGAGATATTTTACCTACTTGGTGGGTAAGAACTGTGGGGCACACCTGAACCATGTGGCTGACCTCAAACAGTTTAAGTACAGCATCAGAAAAAAAACTGCACAAACTACTCCTTTTTTAGGCACCTGATAATTCAGAGCTCACTGGGACTCAAGCTAATGCCAAGTTCAGCTGAAGAAGTTTAAGTGTATTTCTTCCTTCAGTGAGAATGTTGGCAGCCAGTACACTGAATCCAAATCTCACTGTACCACAGGTGGTCAGCTTCCATCCAACTCACTACACCTGCTGTACAGTTCAGAAAATAAGAGAAACAAGTAATTGGTACCAGCTTAATTATTAACAGAGCAGAAGTAATAACTTACACTTTCCTCTTTGTCAATGACTTACTGAAGAGTTTTTGCATGCTCTCTATTAACACAATCCTGTTTCTATGTCCAGCAAAGAAACCACTGTATTTTAATTAGAGTATAATACCACAAGTCAGATAAAACATGTGGTTTGTGGGGTATGGGGGTCGTTTGTTTGTTTCTGTAGGAAAGCAATAATAAGAGTTTTCAAAGATGTTTTCTAACCATATATACTCTATTGGTTCCACATCTGACTAGGAAAAGCAGTATCCTTTCTCAAACTATGGGGAAAACACCCAATCAGCTCCTCACCTAGAAACTGGAAGTTTACACAGTCCATACCCACTTCACCCTGTAGATATTAGCCAAACACATAAATTCAACCCATTAAAACCAGAACTAACAAGTTAATCATGCTTTCAGATGTCTATGTTAATTTCTTAGAGATAAACAGAAGATGTGCAGCTGCCATTTCAGTGCAATTATCACTGTCTATAAAATCAAGGAAAGGTTACTTAGCATGCAGCTAAAATGACAAGTAAGCACCAGTGCTTGAGATCCCAAATGAAACTCAAATTTAGATTCAAGCTCTAAAGTCCTCATTAACAGGTAAACTTCTTCTCTGCAATGGTCACTACTACCCAAGAGTACCATCAAACAGCCTCACATTCTCCTCCATAACCACAGTAAATGTGTAAATCTTCAGGAAAGTAACTACATATGCCTGCAGATTCAAGAAAGTCCCTAGGGATGAATGCTATAAAAACATATCCTGAGAAGCAGCACACCAAGATGCATGCATTCTTTAAGCAATAATATGCAGAAGCCATACTCTAAGTGTGGCATTTCTTATTTTACTATTCTGCAAGTTATCTGTACAAAAACATGCTTTTAATGCCTAACTATTGCTCTGTGCAAAAACATGCTTTTAATGCATAACTATTGCTCTCCACCAGACCCCAAATTAAAAGGCATGGGGAAGAAATCATCTTACAGAGCTTCTGCACTACCCACATACCAGCTTCCTTTATTAAGTAATCTCTTCACAAAGCAGCTGCTCAGGCTAATTCATATCCTAAGGAAATAACATGGCAGTGGGGCTTATTGGAAAGTGGTTTTAACTCACTGAATTGGAGAATTAATAATTTCCTTCTCAAAAAAAAAAAAAAAAAACACCAAACCTTTAAACACCTTTGTTGTGCTTATGTTATTTTCTCAATCAGAATATGAACCAGCCCTTTGTACAAAGCTAAAAGTACTGGTGAATACAGACAGAGAAGTCTGCTTAAAGACCACTCTGAATAAAATCAATTCAGTGGCCATTTCGTTACACACTATACCCATATACATATAAGGGCATCTGAGGTAATGATTAGACACTTCTAAGTCATAGGCTGTTCTTTATTATTTTTCACTACAAAATCCAAGTACTGAATATGACCTAAGTAAAAAACTGTGTAATACATGAAAAGCCTGTTTTGGCTGCAATAAAAGTAAAATCCACCCACCATTAAGAGAAACATCATTGCTTTCAGCTAACGCTTAAAATGTTTATTCTTCCAAAAATCCCTTTTTTCCAGTAAAGAAAAATTTGCTGAATTCAGTCCAACAGATTAAGTTCTAAGTACTTACTAAAATAAGACGACTTCCGACATGACAACATAAAATGTACTTGAGCACTTAATATGAGAAAAGTTATCCTATGAGTGATCTCATTCTTATTAATTGACCTTCTGAATCCTCTGCATTAATCTTATTCTCACTCTGGTATCTAGCAGCTGAAATTTCCATGATAAACTATGAGTATTAAGAATGAGGACATAAAAAAAAACTCAACATCTAAACAGAATGAAGTAAGCCAAATACTGTAAATTTAAAGTTTTGAGTGGTTGCCTTCAATGAAAAGATAGATAAGACTAAATTTCACTTGTGGCTCACAACAAACAGATGAGTCTTCAGTGAGTCTCAAGTCTTGGGAAACAGATTACTAAGAACTTAAAAACAGACCCTTCAGAAGTGCTGTCAATGATGTTGTACTGGTAAGATAAACCTGACTGAGGTAGTTGATGATTGTTTTGATAAAGCCCACGGGACTATTAAATCCAAACTAAAATTGCAGAATATTCCAGCCTAATCCCTAAAAAATGGAAATGTATTCATAAGAAAAAACAAAGCTATCATGTTGATACTCACCGGAACTTTACTTCCGACTATCTGCATGCAGTGGTCAGCCAAGAGAGGTTATTGTGTAAAAAAGATAATAATAATAATACATAAATAAACACAGCAAAGTACTTAGTAGGATGTAGCATTACACAAACTTTTCAGTGCTTAATTATTAGTAGTTGTTACATTATTTTATTACTTTATCAAACTGTTTAGGAGTTATAGCTTCTCAAAAGGAAAACAGTACTTCCACTGTAGGAGAAATAATTTGAAATTCTTGTGTTCCACGGCTGAATCATGAGCATTTTACACATTTACAAATAGCTAAATACCTAGCTTGACCTCTACACATTGAAAGATTAAAAGATAGCAAATTTGTTAAAATTATCAGGTCAGATATTTTACATATGACACTGAGAAAACTGCAGAAAAAAAAAAATAATGGCCTACTCACTTCCTCATACACCTAACTACTTCATTCATTCTGGAGCTTTTGATCTATTTAGATGATGTCATCTGATGAATTTAATTAAGTTTTCATAATCAAAACCATGGCCTACAGTTATAAATTTAACTTGCATTTCAGAAAAACCTCAGGTGGCATTTTTCTTCAACTGCTCAGTATGGATGCTTTTAATTACACGGATAATTAAGCAGTGATTTTCAGAATGACATCTTCACTTTTTCACCATGGAACAGCATCTCTGCATATGCACGAGTAAGAAGTTGACTTTACCTGGCAGAAACTCTGCAGGCATGCAGCACATCTCTGCCCTGCCATCACTTTGCATCCATGACCACGTTCCTGTTAACATGAGGACTACAGACTTGGGCTTAAATATTGTAGGTAGGCCTGTCTGTGTCAGCTCTTGGCTGCAATCTGATAACTGCCAGTTTATTGAGTAACTACTTTTAACTGATTAATATCCAGAGACAATATGATTTTGTTCTGAAATCTGAATTTTCCTGTACCTGTTCAGTTTCTACCCACTTCATTTTCTCCTCTTATCTGTTCCACTATTCTTTTAGGAAGTATTTCAGAAGACAAAAGTCCCTGCAAGTCTTTCACAATCAGCTCCCCTCCCCTTCCTGGTGATGCTTCTCCTAGGAGCACAAGATGAACTGTCATCATTGGACAATCTCCTTTCCTATTTACTATTTTTCCCTCTCACCACTGTTCAACTCATTGAACATGGCACGAGATGTCACCACGTTTGGCTCCAAAACAAAATTCTGAGCCTTTGCCATTTCCCACGTACAACTTGCATGGTCAACAATCTTTCTCTGCCAGTGAAAGAAGGGATCAGAAGCACAGATAATCACTTCACATGAAAGTGTCCAGTTTATTAGCTTCTACATTTCCTCCATCCTCCAAGGAAAACAAAAGCTTTTGTCATCCATTGAAAAGCAAGGTTTCTTTCTCACTCAAAACTCTGACGACAGTAGAGTGTTTCAGAAAAGCATGGTCAACATGCTGCAGACGGCACACAAGGCAGAGGAAATGAAGCACCAAGTTTAAAAATAATTTCGTTAAGACAACATCAGCAAATGAGAGTGATACTATCAAATGAGTGGAGAGAGCTCAAAAGCCCAAATAATACAAACATGAAATGAACGGGAAGAAAAGTCACATCAACTGTTAAGGGCGTTCCATGAGCTCTAAGCAGAAGAAAAGGCCTGAGTATTTTCAGAAAACAAAATAAAGACAGATGAACGATTATCTGTGACCAGAGAAAAAGGCAGAAAATTTTAAGAAAGATAATGTTGAATGCAATCAGCATTTTCACGGAAGACAAGCCTGAAGATGGCTTGAAGAAAAAGAAACTTTGACAATTCATGATGCATTAAAAACTGGATCGGTGTTGAATACAACTAAGCAGAACAGTTGCTTAAGGAGCAGACAAAATTTACAGTGAAATTGAGGTTTTGCTTTATTTTATGATCCAAATCAGTATTTTACAATTTTATAACTTTTATTTTTAAAGCAGTTAAGATACTACTTATTCAAAAACTGAATTAGGATAACACTACAGAGAAGCCATTCATATTTCTGAACTACCTTAAATAATTCCATTCAAATGCTGTGATTCAATGGCAAGAAGGACTTTCTGAAGCACACAGACATCAACAAGGGCCCTTTCTCCATTAGGAAAATCCTTTTGCATATGTGTAAAACATCCATACTGGCGCCAATGCAAGTTCAAAGCACACGTTCATGTATGAGGACATCTTGGGCTTTTTTTTTTTCTAATTGTTAGTACATTTTGGCAAACGTATCCCCAGGCCTGTTAAGTTTCCCATGCTGCAGCACATACAGTGGCAGTAAGGCAATCTGTTAAAATACTCAGCAGTTAGACATGCAACAGTAGCCATGCTTTTCTTACCCAGCTACAAAATTAGGGTACTTGAGGCAGTGACATTTCAGTATTGGTATGTAAGTGTTCACCATCATCCAGCTGTTTTTAGGGGGAAGAGCTGCAAGTACTGCCACTGTCAAAGTTTCTACAGCTTCAATAAAACATAGCTTTTTTTTGCTTAGCAAATTTGCTTACTGAGAAAAATGTAACACTGATCATTAATTGAAGACAGAAACCTTACCAGACATAATCAATAGTTCCCAAAGATAGTCTGGGCAAAGAAGATTAAGAGGAAAATGCACAACATTCAAAGCATAAGCTTGAATAATTCTCCAATAACTTGTATGTCTAGCTACATCATGCTTTAAGCACTGGATTCCTTCCAGGACAGACTGAAGGACTGTGGATTTTATTTAAGTTGAACTCATGCAGGAACATCACTCCTCTCAAAAACATAAATCAACATTTTCACATTAGAATGCAAGTTTTTCCTCATTTAAGTTCATATGTTTAATGCAAAGCATTTTCATTTAATAACTGAATGCCATTGTAGGTTTTTTCAATGTAATTCTGCAGAGCTCATTTTCAAGGTTAAAAGAAAGATAAGTCAACTGCACTGCTTCTATTCCATACTTCGATTCATTAGACACCAACATAAGCTTATTTGACAGTTTATTTCACTAAGAAACTGACTATTTAATGCTTCTCTGTATTTAGCACTCAGACTCAGCTCTGCAGAACTGCTAGCAGTGCTGCCGTTACGTATTTGAGAAATTACTCTACACGTGGTCGTCATTTTCAGTAACCTTTTATTGCACACAATGACTTCAAAAAGATGAGACTCATCCTAATTTCCAAATAAAATCACCTGCACTAACTGCTTTTGTCCATATATTATGCTGATAGCAAATTCTATCACTTGAAGCATACTTCTGTCTCTTGGATACACAAAGCTACCTACCACCACTTCTTTCCCACTACTGCAAGACGTTCAGTTCCCCAGATTTCACCACTAGTTTCTCTACGATTCTTTACGCAACCAATGGTGTCACAAATCAGGACAAAATCTGTTTCTAGGGAAATGACAACACATACACATGTTCCACCCATTCCTGAATTTTTGTGGCATGTTCTCATCTGACAGGAACTGTATTTGCCACAGTCCATTTTTAATGCACAGAAAGCATTACCGTTGGATTTTCTAACTAATCGGTACTAACAGTCCCACTATTATTAGTCCTGCTGCAGAAAATGATTTGCAGCTCTTCAGTATTTTCAGTTCTATTTCTCCACCTCAACATATGTTGGGGCAGCCTGTTGTCCTCTGCTATTAGACTTCTGGCACCTGGAAACAGACAGACTTCAAAAAGTCTGTGTGGAGGATCCATCAACTAAGGGTTAATCCACCAGCTTCAGTACAGAGGATAAGCAACACAAATGAAAGGTCTGAATGTGTCTTATTCTACTCAAAATCTCATTTGAAATTCCTTTTAAGACCATCTTTTCACTAATGGAATAATTTTATTTGCCTTCAGAACATTTCTTAGCAGAATATTTAAGGCAGTCTTCAGGCCAGCTACAGTAGTCACCATACTCAAAATAAGGTAAAATAGCTTTATTTTAAATAGTTTGACTATTTTTTTTTTCCTGTTTCTCACACTGCAAACTATACATCTAGCATGTGTATCATTCCTGAAACCAGAACACATCATGCTATTCCTTCTAAAAGCTTTCAGTACCAAATATTCATAGATAATTCCACAGAAATACACTAAGGTTCCATCCATTATTCTGTATCATGGGATTTGCAGTTTCTGATGGTGTACAAGAAAGCATCAAGCTTTTACAAGCTTAACAACTGAAACACAAACTAACCCTCCAGATGCAGCTAGAAGTATTTTAAAGTATATTAGTAAGTACATTTTCTTTTTTTCCCTACCACTCTTAGAAGATAAATCCAGACCAAAAAAAAGGGAAGTTTCAAGCTTGAAAAGCTAACACTCAGGAAGCTAAGCTTCTTACTCTCGTCTGCCTTGGAGAGGTGACTACTTACGGATTTGGCAGTTGCAGAAATGTACTGGACAACCATCTCACGTTTTGTGGTCAAGTCTTTATCTCGTAAAGGAGCTTTACGTTCTTCATTTAGATTCATATCTTCCTGTAAAGAAACAGATCACAATAACATCAAGGTTCTATTTCATGCTTTTTACTAATCTTTGTTGTTTTCACACTCCTTTTCTTAAATAAAAATTAGCTTTCAAGCTTCTCTTTATTTCAGTTTAAAGCTGAGCTACTTGATTTGCTCATTCCATTCTGTCACTTCAAGCATTCACTGTTTTCAAGACTTAGCCAAAATTATAATTGTATCAAGGGTAGTTACCATAAGTGAAATCTGGCTCAAGAAATAGAAATAGGGGACAAACCCAAAAATTCTACCCCTCAGGGTGATCACCTAAGTGTTAATTCTTGTTAAGATCCTGTGTTTTTTTCATAAAATCTTTTTGAAACAGACACCATTCCTGCACCATCTAATCAGAAGGCTCTTATCACATTGATTATTAGCTTGTAGAAGATAAAGATGTGAATGTGTTCCAACTGATCTATTTAAAGCAAACCTAAAAATCCAAATATACTCCTAGATTATATCTAAGATGCCTGTTTCACTTTAATAACTGATTAAATACACCATGTAGCTATTACTATTCATTAGACTTGCCATTACATGTCAAAGGCACTACAGAATAGCAACTAAGAACAGAAAATGTTACTGTAATAACTTACTGGTTAACAGGTTTTTCAAGTAATTATTAGTCTCTGAAAGATAGACCTATTGTCTGCTTTAATTAACATTACTTGGGAAAGCTAAAAATTAATCCCTTAATCTAGCAAGCCAATCAAGCAAGTATTGTCTAACCTTCCAAAAGGAGATTCACAACTCCACTGAACAGAGCAAAGCTACACAATGGAACAGGACAGTTCTTAGGCCACACTGACTGTATACAAGTTTACAACAATTTTTGAGAATGCTACTGCATTTCCTGATACTGCATATATCAGCACCAATGTGCACAGCAGAATTAATACACATGTACTTCAAAAGTTCACTTCTGTATCACTAATGCAAAAGCCTGCTGGCGAGCAGAATGACAAACCTTGACAAGTGATCTTCAGACAGAAAATAGTCATGGCCATGCAAAAATTTAGCTTTCTACACTACTATTTTATTAATGGAAGTAACGCTTTTCCAAAGGTATTTATTTAAAACCACCCTTCGACAGCAATATCTAACTAATGCAACTAAGGCCTATAGAGGTTATCTTAATGAAGCAATCGATAGCATAACATTTTTTTATTTTGGCTTTTGCCTTTGTTTTCTCTGTAGAAGCAGACTGAGTAACTTAAACAGTTTGAGAGAGATATATATATAAAGTAACTATTAGCATTCTCTGAGTAACTTACCTGTTTATGTGCCAATTTAGATAGGTCTACGAGGACTGCATTTATTACTTCTGAAGTAGTTTACTTCCAAAATGACAACACTTGAAAATCACTAGTATAGAGTAAATGCCAACATGAAACAAATTAGAACCTCCGAAAACTATGTAGCACATGATCTTACCATCATTTTTTCAAAGAGATCCATAACTTCTTTTTCTGATAAGTTCATACAACGCTCATCAACAAGTGCCTGGGCAAGTGGGATTTCACTTATAGAAGGTTGAGAGTCAATAGGATGCTGAATGAGAGGTTTCTCCTTTTTCACTGCTGATTTTCTGAAGCTTGTTATTCTGTCACGCTGCAAAGACATCCATTTAAAAATAAGCAAAAATAGAAATATAGGACAGCAGCCAATTACATGGCAGTAATACACACATTTTTAGTTCATCCAGGCAGCAGAGTTAACTCAAACTGAACCGTAAGTAAAAATACTCTAACATTCAGAGATGACTTTTCAGAAAAGACAACAACATTTAAGGTAAATTCAAGACAGGTCACATGCAAAAGGGATATAACTAATTCTCACAGTTTCAAAAGTATACCAGCTACGATAAATGCTTAGCATTTCAAAACTGAGTTCATCTTCTCACATTACTCCCTAATTATCCTGATAGTGAATAAATATGGTACCACAAAGGTAATGTCCAAGCGTTCCTTCACCTGAAGAGCTATAAGTCTTTGGAGGACAACTGAAAAAGCCAGCGTTGGGAAGGAGGTACTCACAAGTTCATCAGGCTTATAAAAAAATCCTGCTAAAGTAAAATAAAGTTTGTAGAGGAATTAATGCTCCAAGTATAGTTCACAATTCCTTGAAGAGTTTTTGAGTACGGACTCCTGAAATTAGTGCAGACCTTTATGAAGCTGGGTAATGGATTACAGGCAGAAAAGCAGCCGCCCCGAGTTAGATACACGGAACAGACATTAGTGACAGCAGATCACACAGGCTGCAAGGACGTCCCACTGGTTAAGGCTGGCTCGTTTAATGCCCTACACCAAACCCCCACCTGGGTTGTTTTGTTTTTTAATGCATGCTTACTCAGTTAATTTGTTAATACTGGAAACAACCAACAAGAGCACCTTCCTTATAAGGCCATTTATTACTGTATTTTTCATATCTAACTCTATTCTGAATAGAGTCAGAGGATTTTTTTTTTAATGCTTTTAGCTATATACACATTTTCATTTTGAGAAAGTTATGTCTATAGCAACTTTTTCTAATTTAACGGTTTGCATCAACAATTACTAGGGTATTTGTTTCACAGCCTTATGAAGATGTGCCTCCATCTAACAGCAGCTTATGTAGGGTTACCAGTATCATTCACAGCCATTATTGCAATCTTTATGAAGACACGTAAACCAAAATTAATATTAAACAACCTCTGTGAGGTGTGAAAAGTTTAATGGAGTATTTCATTTGTAGGACATTTGAGGACAAGTGAGGACATTCACTTGAGATTAGTCCAGTTAGGAAGGGAGAAATTTGACCAAGTACTGTGGAATACAGACAAGAAAGGTTCTTTTTTGTTTTCTTTTTCTTCATTTGTTTTGTTGTTGGGTTTTTTGAGATCCTACAAGACTATCTTGATTTTAAGTGAAAGTATCCCTAGATAAGCTGCATTCCCTTTAAATTTCTTTGGAGGTTTTCTTTGTTTGCAGTTTTGAGGGGAGGGGGTTGGCTTTGGGTTTTCTTCTTCCTTATAAGTTTTAGATATGTGGACAGAAACACATTACCTACAAGGATACTGTTAACATCTTTAACAAGGCAAGAATATTACTTTCAACCTATTTTTCCCTTATTAGTATAGTTTATTTCACATGTTTTTGAAACTAAAATTAGGGCATAACCTATTAAAGGCCAAAAATACAGCATAATGCCTGAAAGGCAGTATGCAAAATTAGCCAATACACATCAAACGCAGTTTTACTGTTCACTTCCATTAAAATGCCCTTTCAGCAGTCACACAAAAAAAAGTCCTTTAAGATCAATTTCACAATACTGTGAGCTGTTTAAAGTATACCTTATTAACAACAAATTCGTTTAAGCGGATTGAAATGGTGACATCACTTTAAAGCCATAAATGAATCTTCTGCATAATTACTAGGCACAATTTCTTCATTTCAGACATGTAAGCAATGACTAATTAAGAGGCCTGAATGACTTGACAATTATATATAGAAAATAAAAGTTTATAATTTTACTGAAATCAATTTTGACATAAGTTTCTGTAAAAAGACTTTTCAGGCTTCCAAGTATTCCGAACTATAAAGTTAGCACTACTGAAGACAAATTTGTTGTTTGCCATCCAGTACACACTCCTCACCCAAAATGGTTCCACTTAAATCATGTGGCAACCACTGCAGATCCTTTACTGTCAAAAAGGTCAGGAGAAAATAACTTGAACTGTTGAATAACAGTTGCAACATTTCCACAGTATTACTAAAGTATTTAGAATGTGGTTAAAAATGCTTCTCCAAACAGATAACATTACTCTTCTTCAACTGACGTTACATATGAAGTTCTTTATGAGTAGTAACTCAATTTTCTGAAATTGAATGCTTAATATCCTTATAAGAACATGTTACATTGTCCACAGTATTTAGTAAAACAGCATGCAGTGTGGAGTTACCATCGCAAAGTAAGATGTCACAAAGACCTTACCACATCATCTGCCAAAGTTTTTATTTGAATATTCTATTGAAAAAAAAAACACACACACAAATCAAAGAAAAAAAGACGTTACCTACTGTTTCAGAACAAAGAAGTCTGTATTTCATGTATCCTAACATTGAAAAAAACTTCCAGTTTCATTAAGTGTTCTAACAGAAGTGTAGCTAAATGAGCAGAGAAGCTTCTGCATTTCACCTGACAAAGCAGGCTTGCATCCCATTTCACCTCACCTTTTGACTAGTCAATGAATGTGAAACCTGTATAGCTGTAGCACCCCCACTATCTCACAAAAATGCCAGGAGATCTCTCAGACAGCTTTCCAAAACAAATATGGACCACTGGCCATCAGACATTGTCAGCAGATTGCTATGTGACATTCTCAGTTTCCACACTGAGGCTCAGTTGAGTGAATTTCCTGTGCCCCAGCTTCCTGAACCTTCTGCCGGTTTCTCCTAACAATGAGTCATGTCCACTGACAGATGAACGGGCTGACACCCGTGTACTGATGATGCACAGACCAGTCACCATTACCCCTCCCTCCCCAGTACCCTCTCCATTTTTCCTTCACAGCAGTAAGATCCTGCTGACAGAGACCACCAGCATTACATATATATTCACAGACAAAAAAAGTAACCTATATTGTATACCAATATTAATAATTATCTCAAGGGAGTATTTTTTAATAAACATTGCTGAATTTACACCAAGCAGTCATGAATAGGTTAGTAAGGTCTAGAACTTTGAGATGGGGGGATCCACAACAAGAACTGCTGTATGTGACAACGTGTGGTAGTTGATCCACAATGACAGAGCCCTACATGTAACTGATGAGGAAACAGGGACTATTCTCCTGGGCAGCAAGATTTCAGATCCTTGGTTGTGCTCTCACCACCTGAAATGGCCAAGGTGCTTCTAGTCAACACAGGACTGTGTAGTGTGAACTGAGTGGATGAGTTGGATGTTATTGGAATTGAACCTGTAACTATTCAACGGACACCACACAGCATTTTACTTCCCCTTGGTGGAAGTTATTAATACACCATGCTCCTTCTAAGACTACTTTCTGTCTTGGCTATATTGTAAATACCATATTGCTGAAACAAAATTACAAAACCATACAATGGCAGAGGCGTCAAGATGGAAGGAGGGGCAATGTGTTCATACAGTGAAGATAAGCACTCAGAGATATCCAGGACAGGGTGGTGGATTGACCCTGGCTGGCAGGTCAGTCCCCACCCAGCTGCTTGCTCAGTCTCTCACAGCAGGATCAGGAGAGAATCAGAAGTGCAAAAGCAAAAACAACTCATGGGTTGAGATAAAGACAGTTTAACAAGCGAAGGAGGGGTTAAAAAAAAACTAAAAAATACCCCACACAAACATGCAAAAGCCATCAGTGACCACCAGCAGACCAACACCCACCCAGCCTCTGAGCAACTGATGCTTTGGTAGGACACTGCTCCTCCCCACCCTGCCGCCCGGGTTTATTGCCGAGCACGACGTTATATGGTATGGAATATCTCTTCGGTCAGATTGGATCAGCTGTCCTGGCTCTGTCCCCTCCCAGCCTCCAGCCCACCCCATCCCGGGAGGGGGCACACTAAGAAACAGTGAGCCTTGACACTAGGTAAGGACTGGTCAGCAAAAGCTCGAAGACTGGTGTTCTATCAACACTGCTTTGGTCACAAATCTGGACCACAGCACCCTACAGGCTGGCTAGGAAGAAAACTAACTCCATCCCGGCCTGACCCAGCACAGACAGCTAGGATAAAACCTTTCCTTGTACTACTTCAGATGCTGACACCAAGCCTTCAGCTTCCTAACTGCCCTATCTCAAATCTCTTCCCTAGAGCTATACCTCTCCTGCATTTTCATTACCTGGACTGAGTATGCAGCTAAATGAGGAATTATTACTCTAATATTGAAATCACAACTAAGATATCCTTACTCTGGTAAGCACATCTGGCCTGTAAGGGAGATCATTGAGGAAGAAGTTCAAATGAGGTAAAGCCCAACCGTGACTTCAACCCGGAGACAGCTATGTAAGCAAGAAGTTCTAAAACTCTATTATCCATTTTAGCAGTCACTTGTACTAGAAATATTCCCCCCCTTCTCATTTAAGTACTGTCAATCTCTCACAGAACCTGGAACGGGATAATCTATTCCATCTCTACATTTATATTGCATTTGTCACTCAAACTCCTCTGGGCAAAATACAGAATACTAAAGCAAGATACCACACAGCATTTTTTTTTCCCCAGACACCTCAAGCACACTTCCCAGATCTCCTTATGGCACACAAGCTACACTGCTGACAGTAGCTACTCAAGATAAGCAATACATTGAACAGGTAGAAGAGAAACTGCAAGTAGCTGGAGGCAGAGGCAAGGCAGTTATGTACCTGCAGACACTCACTGACACACAATTTTGACAGTCTCTTATACCAACAAAGAAATCACACTTCCAGTCTGATTTAAGAACATAAACCAGTTTGCCTCCCCAGGAGGAAATTTGAGATATCACAATTTTTGTAGTCAGCCTTCTGGCTTTACTCTTTCAACTACCTGTAAGACAGCCAGAGCATCACAACATAAAAGGAAATCAGCCCTTTCCTAGCTTGTTAAAGACACTAACTCCCTGATTTTAGAAGCACCCCAAAGGCAAAGGTTTTGCAAAAAATCACTATGATAAAGCATTTGCAGATAAGGAATATCCAGTTAATATTTATATGTACAAACACACAATTTAAGACAGCAGCATCTCTCTCTCCCCCAGTTTTTAGTATCAACACAAAGCATGGAACTTCAACTCCTATATCGAAGAACTATTTCCTACTGATATACTTAGTTCTTCATTTTGAAAACTTAAGAGGCAGAGGTTTTCCCTTTGAAACATAGTCTTTCTAGTCCATCAATAGTTAAAAATATTACTTTCTATTACTCCTCTCAATTTTAACTAAGTAAACTGTCCCACTACTTGCCCAAGTACTGACAGATCACGACAGTAAGGCACACAAAAACCAGAGCATATACCAGTGCAACTGCATCACACTATGCTTTTATCCCAAAAGGTCAGCCTCAGCTACGTTAATAGTCAGAGTAATTGCACCTAAGAACAGTACACAGATTTTCACCATAGTTTACTATATTTAACAACACAAAAATCACTCATTCAAGCTCAGTTCATGGCACAGCAGTAACAATGTCAACAAGCGAAGAATGACTTGAGATGACTGTGTTAACTTTTAATGCAAAGCTCATAGAAAGCCTACTTTTTAAAAATCTCTTTTCAAGCTTATCTATTAATAAAACCTTCCAGATCTTGAGGATCTGGGAAAAAAACTCCAGCTGGCCATGAGTTGTAAAGTAAGGTGTGTTTACATGGCTTGATTGATCTTGCCATTATACTTAAGTACAACTTTGCCATGTTCTTGTAACACTCAAAACTCTCACTTCCACCTCAGAAATAAAACCCAAAGCAGCTCACAGTCCACCACATGAATAACGAAACAATGATCAGTTGAGTAGCTTCTAAACATAACAGCAATTTTCTCTCCACTGCACACTGCTCAGGCAAATCGTGGTGTGCTCCAACACCCAGTTCTGCACACAGGCTATGGCTTCAGGTAACAGCTCCAGCTGCTCTTTGTTACCCTTCAGAAAATCAGGATTACCAACAGGAACTTGACCTTTGCTTTAGGTCCTTGCTTTTAACTAAGATGATATGACTATCTTCTAAAATTCAGGTAAACTTCAAAACCTGCAAAAGACACTATAAAGTTCACTCAAGGGTGTTTTTTAAATGTCCGCAAATAAATTTGCACACAACCAGGCAATAAATTCCCATCTGAGTACCTGAACCAATGGAGTTTCAACGGACAAAACCCAAAACTGGTTAGTATCTGAAGTACAAAAAGTTGTGCACAACTCGAGCCTACAGACACAAAATAGAATTCACTCCTACAACCTTTGTTCTTCAGTATAGAGAATGAGTAATGTTCCCATTAGACAATTTAACCATCTGTTAACGTAGTCAATTTTGTAATTAAATGTTAAAAGGAACGTAGGAAATTGTGCAAAGATACCTGAGTCACATGAACTGATGTGCAGAAACTATAACTACACTCATTTAGGACTTTCAAGATCTTTATCCATGATAAAGTATACTTGGCATTACTAACAAAATGAGTGCAAATGTCAGTCACAAAGTGTTTGTTTTACAATACTGTTTTTGGGCACTTCAAGGAGCATTCACTGTGCTTTTAAGAACTTGAGATGATGGTTGTAATCCAGCTGGTATATCAAAGACTCCTGACGTTAGCAACACTAATAGTTGTTACCACTGCAGCACGTTTGCATTGGGTCTATACCACACCACATGGAAAACTCTTGCTTGCTTTGCAGCTGTTCCCTTCACAAATCCCTTAAATATGCATTATTTAAATTATTAAACTAAGGCTTAATCTACAATCTGAACATGAAGCTAAACACTCCCTGGGGCACTACAAAGTGAGATCAAGGAGCATGTGAACACCTTACAACAGCCTGCCAAAATGAAGCTGGGAAGTTTCACATGCCAACAGCACAGTCAGTGCTGGCAGAGTGGAGGATGGCAACTGTCTCCCCAGCCAGGCAAACCCCTGGGTTTCCCCAATTACTCTACTTTTTTTCCCCAGGAGACTGACCATTCAAAAGTAAGCAATACTAGGAAAACAAGTCAGACAACTCCTCATGTTAAATAAAGCCAGAGGGTCACCCAAGTCAGTCATTATTAACAGCAGAGGGCACCAATTCTTTAATCCTAATCCTTCAAGATTGGGTGTCTCAGCACCGCTCCCGCACAGAAGTGAAAGGGAAAATGAGCCAGAGGCACATTAATCACATTGGACACTTTCCTTCACAAATGTTACTGTTTGATCCTCAAGGGATGAGAAAAAGGGGCACATCCACACCATGTCTCTGACTAAGAGAGACAAAGTCTGGTCTGACTAAAATGGGTGTTGACACAAACTGAAACGGCTTCCTCATTTTTGTCTGACTGGCAGAACACTATCATATTTCAAAATCAGATGGACTCTTCAAAAAAACTGCATTTTTTCCAGATGACTTCAAAGAAGCTTTCACCAAAAAGAAAACTGTTCAGAAGTCAGAAGAAAAACCAAAGCACCAAAAACATACAACTGCAAATGAACTTAGTCTTAATAGCAACAGTTTTGTAACTGAAGATGCAAAGAATTGGAGGAAGAAAATTCAACTAGTATTGTTTTTTCATTTCAAACTGCCATTACTGGTTTGTAAAGTTTGCTTCAGAAATTTCTTGGTGTTCACTCATAAGTAAGCTTAATCAGAGCAAAATTAAAAGTTTCTTCCAAAAGCTGCAGTGCCATGTTACCCTAAGTCAATAAAATTGCTGACTGTGAGACAAAAGGGCAAGGGTGGCACCACGGCAGTCAGATCAGCTCAGACTACTGCAGAACAATTGCAGAAAGCCTGTTAGAAGAGGCAGTTTTCACATGAACCACTGCAGAGGCTAAAAAAAAAAAAAAAAAATTTCTTATTTTCCAGAACTAGTGCTAGAGTCCAAACATTTTCCATCAAGTCTCTGCACCAGCCACATCAGACAAGTTACCTTCCCTAAAGCAGCTCAGGGTAACAGCTGATGGAACAGAACTGGTGAGTTCCCTACAAAAGTACAGCCAGGATCTGCCTCTTATTGTGATATGTAGTGAACGTGCAAAACAACTTTTCCTTTGAGCATCTTGGAGAATTGTTTTGTGACAGTACAGCATGCTTTTCCATTGAGACCAATGAACTGTGTCTCTTTGGGATGCTCTACAGATTTTAAGTTCCTCACTTAAAACTATCAAGCAACAGTTTGCTAGTTAAAACTTTTACAAACTAGACTTCTGAAAGCACCAGTTCATAATTCCATTCATAAATTTCACAACAGCCAAGCATTTCAAAACTGCTTTTATGGAGTGCTTACTAGTCTCAACATGGAGGTTTAATGTTCTAAGAGGTATTTAACTAATCAATATCTTTACAAAGGTTAAGAGACATGGCAAACCCTATCCTTGTAACAAAGATTTTTAACCTTTTATTTTAGCTCAAAGCCAACAAATTCTACCTACTGGTTTCAGTACTTAATTTAGAGATGTCTGTGGCACTACATAATCATTAACCAACAGAAGATTTTATAGGACACATCCTAAAACATCCAAAAAAAAACCCAAAAAAACAGCAACCAGCAACCACAACTCGCACAAATAACTAGGTACAAAACTCCAAGGCTACATGTCCTTATGGGCCAAAAAACTGTAATGGATAATCTTTGAATGAGGTATTCTGGGAGGTCTTGGCATGTCTCTATAAATGCAGAAACTTTGTAACAATTTCTTTGCTATGTTAATTTTGAAAATATACTAACTTGAGAAACATTTTTAGTCTTTTATAAACGGAAATTGATGCAAAGTTTCTGCATCAGAACTACAGGTACCTGCAAGACCACCTTGCAGGTGACAAGCGGTGTCCCAGTCACGCTAGAATAGATAATTATTTGCATAAAGAAAAGAAGGAAGTCAGAAC